CAAAAATCCAATTCTCATATTATTTCTTTGTGATATGCATTCTGAGTTGTAAATCAAAGATTTACAATTGAAGTTTCAAAGTATAATCTTTTTCCTTTGGAGTACAGGACAATACAGAAAAAGTTGAATGCTTTTGGCATAAAGATTTAATATTAAGGGCCAGCCAGATAGTTCAACAGATTAAAGTACCTGTTTATGCAGATGCAGGGACCGGGTTTTGATCCCTGGTGTTCCGTGCCAGCTCTTCTTCCAGGGCGCACTGAGATGGCGATTGAGACTGGGTGTGATGGTGCATACCTGTAGTCCCAATGTTTGGGAGGCTGAAAACAGGAGAATCACTATGAGCCTGATCTGTGTAGTGAGACTCTGTAGACCCTGTACTAAATACATAAATAAGATTTAACATTAAAATCTTTAGGAATAGCAAATTTATCCTTATAGATGTGAATTAAGATGTATGGACTTTAAAAACCTAATCTGAGTAAAAGGCTAACATAATTGGCAACTGGAAAGGACACTATCTGCTCACACCTTGCTCGGCTGATTCCTGGCATAGAGTCAGCTTACAGTAAATTTTTATGAATGTTGTTTTCAAATGAACAGAATGCTTTTTAAGACTATGTCTGTTCATGCAAGTATTCCTAACTAAACTAAATTATTTATCTTACACTCACCCTTCCTTCTTTCTTCCAAATCCTTTTCCATTGTTGCTTACTTATAAAGTATGCAATTAAATTTTGGCAAATGACTGTTGCAGAAAGGGTATTGGTTGAATGCCCAGGTCAGGAGGGAGTGTCACATGGTGTCTTATTCTTATCACACTATCATTAGATGGAGGAGTCAAGAGTCGGCTTGATCTCTTGTATTGTTTGTTACTTGGTTCATTATTTGTCTGGAATTCTTTATAGCTGATAAAATGAGACAGAATACCAGTGGGAGCTCTTTGGGCTGGGCCACTGTCCTGTTTGTCTTCAGGCTCTCTAGTCTCACTTCTACAGCATCGCTCCATCTTTTTAGAGAGGAAAAGAAACAACTATCATTTGTTAAATATCTACTTAGACACTGTTCTGGACAGATGACACTATTATTTCATTTAATTAACACAGCAGCCTTGGAACATGAATTATTCTCACTTTGCAGTTAAGAGAATTGAATAATACTAGGATTAAGGAGTTTTTAAAAATAATTATAGAGTTATAAACTTCAGCGTGGTATACTTAACTGCTAGTGAAGTGTCTGATACATGTATATGTATAAGTAATTGGGTTTAGTGTGTTCTGCTCTGGAAGTCCCAGATCTTCTCACTAGTGAGTGCTGTCTCCCTGTTGTAGTCAAGGTTTTCAAGGGAATAAATGTAATACAAGACACACAAATTTGTAGGTTTATCTTATAATATCTACCTGAAAGGTCAAATGCAGAAGAGTACAAGAGATTACCATGTGCTAGAGACCTGAGGAATTCAGCGGAGGGCTGGACTCCATGGCCACAACCTGCACAAGTCGAAGCAAAGGCCTAGAGCCCACCCCAAGGTCTCCTGCATGTCTGTATCAAGGACCTACACCTGAAAGGCCCAAGGGCTGTAGTGGAAGTTAGAAAGTCTGTCCTGGTAGGAAGAAGGATTTGTGCCATAAAGCTGAGAGATCTGCACTGGACCCAGGAAGCAACATTCAAGACCTGTGTGGATCAGAGTTCCCCCGAGAGAACAGCAGTCTCCCAGACACAGCAAAGACTCATACTCCTCCTCCTCTGATAAGAAAACAGAATTGAACCAGGTCAACCAGCCACAGCAAAGCTTCTCCTGGAAAAGTGGCAGCATGCTGTCTTCCTCTCTCATTCTCCTTTATTCTGCTTGGCCACAATCTTCAGGTAGATCTTCTGTGACCAGAACCAGGCTGACTCAGTTCTGCTGGGCATTCCCACTGCTGACATTAATTAATCCACCAAGTTCCTCAATAAATATGATTTTGAGATATTAAGGTATATATACATGGTTTTCTTATCTGACTGATATACACACTGGTCATTTATCTGACTACTTACAATTATTTTTGGGGACCTCTAAGTGGAGAAAGTAAGTAGTTACTTGCGTTAAACTCAGGAGCTTGCAGGAGAGGCTAATTAGGAGTCCTTTGGTGTGTCAGCCACTAAATTAAAGCATTTATTTTTTTATAGGATGACTGCTGGTAGAATCATCATCTGAGGAAACTGCAAAGGGTCTGCTAGAATGCTAAAAAGAGAATGAACATGATCCTGTGATTTGTGGAGAGAAGGGAAGAGGGGAAGGTGAGGAGAGGGAAGGTGTGTCTTTCTCTTGAAAAAGATGTTGGCCAGTTGGCATGGGAACAGGGTGGTAGGAACTAGGGAAACAGGGAATATTTTCATAAGATGAGTACAAAGACTTGGCAAGAAGTGGTAGATGAAAGGAAGAAGGGAAATAAAGAGAAGTCACTATAAGTTGCTGGAGGAAGAATGAGGAGGAGAGACACACTTCTGAGCCAGCAGGGATGCAGCCTCGCAGGTAAAAGGGAGCTCAAACTGAAGGCAAGGCCTGGGGAAAATTTACTTGCTCACCTGAAGTTATAAGGTAAATTATCATTTTACATAGTCATGTGACATCTTGTCTATAGATGATAAAAAATAACTGATGCAAAAGCAAAATCCTATTTGCTTGCAGAGGACTTAATTCATTACAGGAGAAAGAGATTCCCCTGTCACCTTCTATTCTTGGTTTTCCTTCTGCCTGCTACATCGCCCTCACCAACCCCACTCCTTTCCAGCCTCCTTAAGAAGCTTAGTAACCTCTGCTCTTCTCTGATACTGGGAGGACTTTATATGTTGCTTTCTGCTGTCCACTGTCACGCATCCTGCTTGAGGCCCATTTGTGTAAAGATTTTATCTGCCATTCAATGAGAAGTATCTGCAGTACAGGACTATCTTCTACTTGCTTTCAGTGAAAAAATATTAAATGAATGTAATATAATCCCCTTTTTAGATGACAGAACAAATGTGGCTGAGATTAAATAGTAGATTCTAGGGTTTAGAATTTAGGGCCGAAATGTACGTTTTGTGATCCCCAGCCCTATGTTTCACACCCCAGTCTCTTGTCTGTCTTAAAATTGCAAGTGCTGCTAAAGGGCCACATGAGGAGGACAAGTGAAGGTGTGCACTAATTCACAGAGGCTCGGGGGACCCAGGGATATGCTGGCTCTTTTCCACTTTGGGAGCCATTTGTGAAGTCATTTGCCTGTGTCACGACTTATCTTCCCTACTCACTTGATGAAAGCCTGGGGCCCAGCGTGCTGAAACAGAGATCAGGCTGTCCCTTTGGGGTGTTGCTGATGGTGAATTAGTCCATAGAGACTGCTCATGTCACCTCTAATGCAACAGTCTACCTTGTTGGTGCAGTTTATCTCATTCAAAAAGTAGCATTTAAGTATGTCTTCCTTTTTCTAGGTAGATTGTATACTGACATTTTTTTTAAATTTTTTATTTTTTGATACATGATCTCACTACAGTTTGGGCTGGCTGTCTTCACTTTTGTAGCCCCTGGGCTGGTCTCGAACTTGCAGAGTTCCTCCTGTCTCAACATCATGAGTGGTGAGATTACAGGCATGTGCCCCCATGCCGGTTCTGGGGTCAGCACAGTTCTTGGGCCAGGGCTAGCTCAGAATGCGATACTGGGGGTCAAACTCCAGACCTTGCGCTTGCTAGGCAGGCACTTATGCTGCTGAGCTATCTCCCCAGCAGTGATATTTTAAAAGTAGTTGTGTAGTTGTACATGGTGGCACATACCTGTAATAGTAGCAGCTGGAAGGCTAAGGCAGGGGGATAGCCATGAGATCAAGGCCAGCCTGCACTATATAGGGAGACCTTGCCTTAAACAACAACAGCAGCAGCAGCAACAACAAAGTGGTCATGTACACATCTGATCTGCAAATTTCTAGTATCTTTGTAAAGAAAAGAATTGTTTATAATTACCATTAGATCACCACCTGACAGAATTGTTCTATTGTTTTTGTCCTCTAGTTTTTGCTATACCCACATCAGCTCATTTATTTTCTATGAAACTGAGTTACACATAGCAAGCTATCAAAGTACGTGCCTCGCCAAGATTCCCTTTTGATTTGTAAACAGAATAATTACAAGTAGTATATTTACTATGAATATTTGTGATTTGACTGCATATAACACCAAATGAATGACTATTGGTAGATTGCATTCACTGGCTTAAGTGGAAAAGGAGATACATTCAGAATATTCTGCATATTTAGAAAAAGTATGTTACAATAGCAGCCACCTACTTTGTGTAACAATGACTTACCCTGAATGAAGGTTTATACAAAGTATTTTGTCATGTAAGAGTTTGTGATATTACATGGTTGAGATTGAACTTCAGAAATCCCTTAGATTTTCCCTTTTCCGTTCTATTAAATCTCTCTTTTTGTGAAAATTACCCAGAACCATACCTCCCTTTGCTGCTTATGTAATTATCTTATAAAGTTAAAGTTGAAATGAAAAGACATTTTAAAATTAATATTTTCCTTGTACTAAGTCTTTCAAACACCCTCATTCTCATCGTGATAACTTAGTAGCCTTATGGTGGATTTTTTTGTTGTTTGTTTGTTTTTCACTTTATGCTGCTTAAAATTTTGCCATAGAGTCTCTTATGCCACAAATTTCATCTATATATAAACCACTAAGATGAAAGTGTCTGGAAAACTGACATGATGGCTCCCAAATGTGTCTCATATCTCCTTTGAGCCCCTTCATTCTTTGTTGTTAGTGTTATATGAAAAGAGACAGGAGCTGAGTCCTCATGTATTGCCTTTGAGAAAACAAGACCATTGACATAAAGTGATGACAATAGTCCAATGGGATATACACTTTAACTTACTGGATGGGTATGAATTCTGAAAATAGTGGGCCCATAGTGAGCGAGCTAACAAGGCATTCACAGTCTCCACAAAGGCATATGAATGCTTACAACAAATCGATGGTATTTATTTTGTACTAAGCACAGGAGAGAAGAAAAACACTCTATAGCCTAGTTACTTCCTCTTTTGAAGAACCAAAAAGGCAGTAAACATAGTTGAAAAGAGAAAGAAAAACTGCAGTCAAGCTTGAAATAGGTCCAGAGAGTGGACCGCCTCTCTTGGGGATGACCTGTGCTTCCTCAGGAAGGAGAGCTGGTGTAGAAAGAAGCCACTGGATGAAGTCCTCTAACTTGGTAGCCCTGAGGAAAAATTTCCACTTTCCTCCATGAACAAAAGTTAGCTTAATCCATGTACCAAAGTTTGGGTAAATATTAATATTTGACTTTGCCCTTTTCAGGCTTTTAGGTGCTTTTTGGAGGTTACTTTTCCTTAGAGTTTTAGTTTTGGTAGAGATTTTATTTTCTTCAGGATGATCAGTAGGCTCTGGATAACCCAGCACTTTTCCTGGTTCTACTGTAGAGATTTTAGGGTCCACAGACACCGCGGTGTTCTTCATAGTTTCCAGTTGCATAAATTCATAAAGCAGTTCTATAATTTCTTTAGCTTTTTCTTTCTCCAGAACTTCTAAACAATATATGCTGGTGCAAGCTTTCTGGTTTTCCAGTTCTGTAACCTTGTTCTTTAAAGTATTCATGTCTTCTTTCACAGGGAGGATATCTTTGGTGATTGTGAATTGTTTGTCTTCATTAACATTCATTCTGGCTTCTAGGGCCTCCATCTGATTCTCATAGTGATTGATCTTTTCCTGGACTTCTGATACTGCACTGACGATGTCAGTCATCCTGCTGAGGAGTTCAATTTGGGTAAATTTAATATCTTGGAGAATTACTATGAGATTCATTTCTTCCTCTGAACTGATGCCGTCTTGGTCACAATCATAAGTCATTGTTGGGTATCTGATGGTTGAAGCTGAGTGCTGGATCTTACATTTTTGATAAAAATTTTTAAGAGATTGCCTGAACTTGCAAAGATTTGAAGTCCACATATATCCAATAGCAACTTTTACCCGTTTGGCATGGAACTTGTACATCTTTCATTGTGGAATAAGATGCAGGGTGTTGGGAAATGTGAGTGGACTCACAGGAAGAGACAATGTCAGGATGAGATGGTTTTCTCTTACAGTTTGCTGGGTTTCTTTCAGAGTAACATCATAGAATGCCCAAGGGAGAAATCAAAGACAGCAACAGATGCTCTTAGGTGGTAACTTTTCCAAGACAGACTGAGAGCTCTGTGAAACCATGGTCAACTGCAGGGACTTCTTCCCATGACAATCCGTAATGTCATGGTGATGTCACAATGGTTGCTGGCTTAGAACACATACAAGCCTATCACAGTAATTCTTAAGATTTTTGTCATAGGGTACTTCTTTTACTTTTAAAAATTATTGAAGACCAGAAAGCTTTTTCTTATGTGAGTTATATCTATCAAGATTACATATTAGAAATTAAAACTAAGAAAAGTATTAAGATATTTATTTCTTATACAAATAAAAAATCCATTACATGTTAATATAGATGGCATATTTTATGAAAAAATAATGCTACGTCTCATAGAAAAATAGTGACAAAAGGGGCTTATTTTTATATATTTGCAAATATTTAAGATAAATGGACATCTGGAGGACACATTCTCATATCTATTAATTTGTATTTGTAATGTGTTTTGGCTGAAGTATTTGAGGAAAATATGACATTATAGAAATATGTAAGGCTGGTGAGATAGCTCAGCAGACTAAGCTCCTGCTTAGGCAAGCCCAGGGACCAGGGTTCAATTGCCACCACCAAATGCCATGCTGGCTCCACTCCTGTGTGTGCTGAGCTGTCCATCATGTCTGGGCATGGTGGTGCATGCCTGTAATCCCAGCATTGAGAAGGCTCAAAGCAGGAGGATCACTACGAGTCTGAGCTGCGTAGTGAGACCCTGTAGCAAATACATAAGAAAGAAATATGTAAATATATGGAGTAGAGCATTTCACTTGCATTTTTTTAGATAATTGGGGATTATTTCTTGTTGTTCTAACAAAATTTGATAAATGATAACTTTTTAGAGGTAATCCATAATACATAATCTGAGGCCAGACCATTTAATATTCATACTCTGTTACTTCAAAATTCATTGACCCTCTTTTCATTTTGAGTGGATATACAATAACACATACTGATCATTGGAAAAATAGTGGTTCACTGCATTTGTAGATTTTCTAAATACCAATTCATTTTATCATAAAATAACAACCTATAGTATTCATTAATATCACCACAAATTTCATGAGGTCTTTGAGCATGCTGAAAGAGGTATAGCTGCGCAGTGAGACCCTGTAGCAAATACATAATAAAGAAATATGCAAATAGATAGGGTAGAGTATTTCACTAGTTTTTTTTTTTCAGATAATTGGGGATTATTTCTTGTTCTACCAACAGGAAATTTACGTTATTGAGTATCTACTTCTTTGAGTATGCTGAAAGAGGTAGATAACATTTTTTAAAAAAATTCTAATTTTAGCTTAAAAGCTTGAAACTTTTCAATAAGTTTTCAAGCTTGGTGTTTTCATTAAAATAAAATTATCTGCATGAAGCTTTTTGTTCTAAAAGTGCTTGTTAAACATGCCACTAGTTTTTCAGGTATATAAATAGTATTCTAAGAAAAAAGTGGCTATGGAAAATTATAAGTTCCATATGACAAATTTTACTTGGCTAAGCAGCAGCAGTGCTTGATGAGGGCCGGCCAAATAGCTCAGCAGATTAAAGCACCTGCAAGCAGGTGCAGGGGCTGAGGGTTCTACCCCGGGCCTGCCATGCCAGCCCCGCCCCCGGGGGCATGCTGAGACAGCAATTAAGACTGGGCCTCGTGGCATGCACCTGTAAGCCCAGCTGTTGGGAGGCTGTAAACAGGTGGATCACTACGTGTCCGATCTAGTAGTGAAAGCCTGAACACCCTGTAGACCTTTTCCTAAAATATAGAAAAAAAAAAGAAATGCTTTATGTATATATCATCTGTAATATTAAAAACATGTTGCGAGTTAGATTGAATACTATTAAATTTTTTTACTGTTTAATCAAGAATATGCTTGAGTGAAATACGGCTTTTTTTGTACTTTTTTTCTCCCTGTGATTGATTTTGTCCACAGGTCCTCCCCAAACTTTGTGCATGCATAGATGGGGTTTTAGGAGATGCGTGTACCACAGCACTCACCAGTGGATTAGTTCACTGATAAGTTTATTACTAAATGTTCTGTTTGGAGGTGGAGCTAGCCTGAAGAGGAGATAGGTCCCTGTGGGCATGGCCAGGAGAGATGTATCCCTTCTCCTCTGTTGATCTCTCTCTTTCTCTCCTTCTTTCCTGTAATGCTAGGAGCAATCCTCCTCTGCCGTACCACTCTACATGAGAGCCAGCCAAATGTGGTCTGAAAGTTCTACAAACTGTGAGCAAAGATAAACTTTTTCTCTTTAAATTGTGGGTGTTGAATTCTGTGTTTCAGTGATGAGAGAGTCAGGAAGACTGGGGTGCCAGAGAAGTGGAGTCATTGTTGTGACCATGTAGCTTAGAAACCTTCAGAAGTGGTTTATGGGAGGAATTTGGAAAGGTTTAGAGATGCTGGGTGGAGAAATAGCTCTAGAATGTTGTGAACTGACCTTGGTGGAGAACTGGACCAAACTCAAGACACCAGATGTGACTAAAAGGCAGACAGTAAAGATCAGGCTGAGGAGGTTTCAGCTGGAAACAGGCTCTACTGGTAGTTGGGCTCCAATCATCTATAGTATGCTCTGCTGCAAAATTTGTCTACATTTTGCTTCAAATCCTGAGACTTTGTGAAGTGGCTGAGATTAAGGGTGGTGGATCACTTAATCTGTGTAAGAAACTTCAATGCAGGGCTGGCCACAGCTCAGCAGACTGAAGAACCTGCTTAGGCAGATGCAGGGACTGGGGTTCGATCCTCAGTGTGCCATGCCGCCTCTGCCCTGAGGTGCACTGAGACATTGATGGAGACTGGGTGTGGTGGCATGCGCCTGTAATCCCAGCACTTAGAAGGCTGAAAACAGGAGGGTCACGAGGAGTCCTATCTATATGGTAAGTCCCTGTAGACCCTGGACTAAATATATTTAAAAAAAAGAAAGAAAAAAAAGAAACTTCAGTGCATCAGGACATTTGGATTATTGCTTGGATATTGTTGTTGCTTAGCCAGTTTTATCCTGAGAGTAAAAGCAAAAGGTATAGATAACTGAATGATTAAAAAAATTTGAATTTTGTCAGAAAGGAAGCTCCAGTAAAGCTGGATCATGCAAAAACAAAGCAGACCAGAATTTTGTTGCTAAAACAATTAATATTAAAAAGGAGTCAAGGGGCTAGGGAGATATCTCGGTGGTCTAAGTGCCTACCTGGCAAGCACAAGGACCTGGTTTGAGCCCCAATACTGCGTGCTGTGCCATTGCCTTGCCCTGCCAGCCACTGAAATGGGGTGTGGTGGTGCACACCTATAATTCCAGCACTGGAGAGGCTGAGACAGGAGGATCACTACAAGTCCAAGCTGTGTAGGGAGACACTATACCAAATAAATAAATAAATAAATAAATAAATAAATAAATTTTTAAAAGGAGCCAAACACTTTAAATCTGAACAATGCCAAGTATTACTTGAAGGCATGGGAGGAATCTGAATAGCTCTCCGGACTCTTCTCATATCCAAAAGTGGGAAAGTGGAAGACCCAGCACGCTGTGCTTCAAAATAGAGATAGCCTAAGTAATGAGAACAGACCCCCAGGATTTAGTTTACCCTTGGTCATCCAGATGCTCAGAGTCCTCTGAAGGTACCAGCGAGATGTAAAAAGGCTAAGTTCTGCTCACACTGGGGACCAACCTTGGTGTCGTTCATGTGGTACTGGTTTTACACACATACTGAATGCAAGAATTATGGGATCAGGGAAGCCTCTACTCACATTTCAGAAGAAAGTACTAGAAGCCAGGCCATGTGCTCCTGGGAGATTGGTGTATTCAGCTGTAATCATGAAGTTAAAAGTATAGTGGAGATCTGAGAAAGGCGGAGACTCCAGGAGCACCTTTTCCTCTGAGGAAAGCTGGCCTAACAGCGAAACCGTGAGGGCTGCGACCATCAGTAGTGTTGCAGGGGTGGTGTGCGCGAGTCCTTTAGAGCTCACATCTCTGCAATTTGCCCAAGGGACTGAATATGGAACTATGGCATTTACTGCTTTCTTTGCCATATTTCAGTCTTGCTTTGGTCTCTTACTTGCCTGTTCATCTATTTTTCCCTTTTGGGATGGAAACATTTATCCTGTACCTTTTTATATTGGCAGTGTTTAGCTTTTTGATTTTTATGGGTGCTCAGAGAAAAGTTTGCCTTACATCTTGGAGGACACTTTGAACTTGGACTTCTTAGCAACAGCAAAACTGTTAGGACTTTGGTAACTCTTAGGGATGGACTAGATGCATTTTGCATAAAGAGGTTCACATGGCTCTCAGTTACTTTCCCCTTCCTGAGGCATGTCCTCCGTAGTGGTGGTGTCACTATTGGTAAATTGCTTTGCCACTGATTTGGTTTATGCCAAGTTATCATTAGTCCCATCCACTACTGGTTTTGCAATACAATTTTCAAATGCAAATTAAAAAGACAAACAGTATCTTAGCATTATTTTAAAATATCTTCCCCCTCATGGTTCACAATTGCCACACTTTGAGAAACACTGCTTTGAAGTTTAAAAATAACATCATACATTTTGTGTGTGTCTTCTTATAGGCTTTAAGAAAATAACAGCTCTTGAAATCCAAACCTGTTGAAATACTAATAATATTTTCTATTTTTATATATTGAGGTAAAATTTCAATTTTATTCCTCGAACCCATGACCAAACATTTTGAAACTACAATGACGTACTAGCCATGTGTCTCTCACAGAGCATCCCTTTCTAGTCAAGAGGATTTTTGTTGCCTTTGGATTGATGCCAGTTTCAACTTCCCACTAAATCACCATTTCTCCTCTTTGTGCCAAAATTTCAGGGTCGGTTCTGGCCAACTCTGGACTAGTCCAAAAGTCATTTAAGAATTTTGGCACATGAACAATGACTGGTGTTCTGATTTGCTCTCCTATCTTTGAATTTTTATTTAGTCAACCTCTCCAAGTTGTCTAGAAATATTTCCAAACGCTTGTAGAGGAAAAGTTCTCCAGGGGCCAGGATACTGCCGGATGGTGTTTGGGGCCAGCAAGGCTGGCATTCAAGGCTGTCTCATTTGCCTTGGGCA